GGGGGGGGGGGGTTATGGTGGCCGGACACCAGGTGGCCGGGTGACGGCACAGGTGATCACGGTGCTTTCCAGCTTGAAAAGCGGATGCCGCCAGCTCTGCTTAGGATGCACGTGTGCCTGCCCAGCCGCGTGTGACCCACTCACTGGGGATTGTCTCAGAGGTGCAGACGTTCAGCGCGCCGCCGCCATTATAGGGAGACAGCCGCCCCAGCGGTGGCGCGGCCAGGGGCGCCGCCTCGGCCGATGAGTTGGGTGCTGCCACAGCCGCAGCTGGGGCGGCGGGCGCTTGCCTCGGGAGTGTGGCGGGCCCGGGTTTGGCGTCGGCGGCGTTGGTGGCGTCGGTGGTCGACGCCAGCGCTGCAACCAACAGCAGCAGCAGCCGGCCTGACGCGCTCAGCGGCGCGGCCATCGGCGTCGCTGCCGCCGCTGGTGGCGAGCGCGATGTGCCAATTGTCCTGCGGGCACGCCGCAAGCACCCACCACTTAAAATCGCACAGGAGGTTGGCGGGTAATTGAAGCAGTATTTTTGCTTGCTATGCAAAGGTTTGGCCTGCTCGCAACATATCGTGCGGTATGCAGCGCCAGTTGATTTGCGGCACCACCGGGAAGCGGCGGTCTGATCTCAACTATGCGATGACAGTCGCATCCAAGAGCCTCGGCTGCGTGTGTACAGCATGCGTGAATTATTGAGGAAAACACCGTCTTTTTGCGACACTGACATGCCCGAGGCCTTGCCTTATTTCGGCTTGTGGCGTCGTCCGCCCTCGGGCTGTCCACGCACAGACTCTCGGATGTGCAGACCCGGATATGAGAGAGTATAAGAGACACTGTGTATCGGAGCTGGATTGGCGGTGCCCGGTGCCCGCGCTGCCTGTGGGGTGACTTTGTCACTTTGGTCAACCTAGGACTTACTCATCAGATGTTGAAGGGCTGCGGCACAGGTGCAGCCGTGCCTGCCTGTTGATGGAGACGTTCAAATGCATTTAAAATGGTGCAATGGTCAGCAGGTAGGGATATGCAAGGGGCCAAGGCAAGCCTGGTCCACTGTGTGCCAGCACAACATAATCCTGCATGCCTGCCTGCGTGGCTGCAGCAGAGCGGGTGCCCGTGGCAGGGCTCCAGAGGCGTGCGCCTGCGGCACGCTAGCTGCAGCAACTCTCACCCGCGCCCCCATCCATGCGCTGCATCCTCTCGCCTGCATAAACCACTGCGCGCACCCCTACCTCAGCCCCACCCGCCAAGCCCCGCCTGTTTCGTCTCATATGTCCACCTTCCGCCGACCTTACTCACCTTTTTCATAACAGCTTTCCTTGTTCACCTCCTCAGCTGCACCTCAGCACCCCACACACGCCGCCCTCCCACCGTTGGGGCCACTGTCTTGACACGCCAGCCTGTTTGCTATTCTTTGCCCCATCCAGGCGCACAGCTCTGCACCAGCAGGCGCGCCAGCTGGCTCAATAGGCGCGCCTGCGGCGCCGCCGACGCGCGGCCCGCACCCCGTTTCGCCCCTCCCTGCACCGAGCGTGATGTAGTCATGCCCACTATCCAAAAGATGACCGCCTCGCGTAACAGCGCAAAAAACAGACGCGTGTGAATGTTTGGGTTGGTTACTGCCCGCGACAGTTGTGCGCCGCGCCGCCGCGTTGCCTTGCTCTCAAGACCCGGCAGCCGGGACGCTCGTCCCAGCCCTAGGGCTGCGAATCCGACGCGTGTGGGCGCGTTTGCTTGATCCCGCACGCGCGCACGCGCACAGGCGGGCGCGCAGGAGGGGGGGGAGCGCAAGGCGCCGCAGCGGGCCATGCCTGCGCCTGCCGCGCCCCACGCACACCCGCAAAATTCAGATGCCATCACCGCGCCGCCGCCAGAGGGGTGGCAGCCAGCGCGGCTCGCCCGCAAAAAACGAAAACTAACCGTCCCGCCAAACGCCAACACGCCTGGCAGAGCGGCCGGCCGAACGCATGCATTGGGGGGCGGTCCCCCCAGTTAAAACAACTCTTATCCTGAATCCGTGACGAACAAGCCACACTGGCCGCACAGGCCGACCACCCAAGCCGCAGCACCCCGGCCGCGCGTCCGCCACGCCCGGCCGGATCTCAGATCGTTGCTTTGAGATCTCAGATCTCAGATCAGATCACTCGGTGTACTTCATGGACGCCTTCTCAAAGCCGACAGTGGGGAAGGTCTTGGCAAAGGCCTCAACCTCCTCCCGAAGCGCCTTTGGGGGGGGGGGTCGCAGGTGATAGGGTTGGGGTAGAAAGATCAGGGTTTAGGATTCAAGATTGGCAGAGCTCAGGGTTCAGGGGTCGTCCTTGCAGGAGTTGAGTGGGGTCAAACAGTCCAGGGGAGTCCGCGCCACTTTCGTGTCGCCCAATTTCGGACCAAGCCACGGCCTGGACGCGCGCCACTCCGCTACTGTGGAAGCCGCCCCCGAGCCGCTGCCGGCACGGACAAGCCCCTCGTTGCCAGGAACGGCGGAATCGTTCACGGCGGAATCGTTCACACCCAGATCACCCCAGATCATCCAAGATCACCCCAGATCGCCTTACCTCGATCTCTGGGACCTGGTTCTTGTCGAGGTAGTCCCGGAAGTCCTTGAGCTTAGCACCCGCCTTGGCCTTGAGGGCGACTGGGGGGTGGGTGGGTAGGTGGGTGAGTGGGTGGGTGAGTGGGTTGGAAACGATGTTGTTTAGAATGGATGGAGCATGGTTAGGTTGAGCTGCATTGCAAGGCCTCAAGCTTGTGCACAAACAATTGGAATTCCTGCAAGTCCACACACACACACACACACACACACACACACACACACACACACACACACGCGCGCGCACGCCCCCAGGCAAGCGCAGGCGCGCGTCATGACACGCCAGACCTCAATTCCAGAGTGCAAACGCAATCAATGAAACGGGACCGAAACTCGAAACAGCCCAGCTTTTCCACCACTCAGAGTAGAAGATGTAAATGCACCCACCCGCAATGTTGACGGCGCGGTCCACAAACTCTGCGACCTTCTCAAAGTCCTTCTCCACAAAGCCGCGGCTCGTCAGCGCGGGGCTGCCCATGCGCAGGCCGCCGGGCACCATGGCGCTGACGTCACCGGGCACGGTGTTCTTGTTGGCCGCGATGTGCTGGGGGTGGGGGTGGGGGTTGGGGTTGGGGTGGCGGTGGAACGGGCAGGCGCGTGTGAGTGGCAAAAAGAGCGACCCATCGAAGAGAGCACACTATTCTTGAGTGCCCAAGCCGACAAACGCAGCCGCTGCCGCCTGACTGCTGCGACTCAGGCCCGCATGTTGCCCTCTGGCAGAGCAAGCGGCCCGACATGTCGCGATTCCGGACGCCATCCCAGGTAAGCGGGCGTGAAAACACTGAATTGTGAAATTTGCTGACGTACTAGTCAGACATATGGACCCGGAATTGTGTGGGGGAGCCTCACCGCGAGCTCCAGCACGCGCTCCACCCTGCTGCCGTCGACGCCCTTTGGCCGCAGGTCCACGAGCACGATGTGGTTGTCGGTGCCGCCGCTGACGAGGCTGAAGCCGCGCTGGCCCAGGGCGGACGCCAGGGCG